CTATCTATCTCGTTCTGTTCATTATCTATCTATCTATCTATCTATCTATCTATCTATCTATCTATCTATCTATCTATCTCATTCTGTTCATTATCTATCTATCTTTGATTTTGTCTATTTATTTATTATTTTGTACTTGAAAGGTGCTGAAAAATCTTCAACTCTATCCACTTACGGAAATTGGAATAAATGAACAATGTTTTTTCAAAATCCCTTCTTTTCAAACTGAAATCGTTTCAACACTACCGCTTAAAACTGATCGCAAGTTAATATATATAATTGCAAAGATAAGCATTGATTTTACATTACCTACCTACCTATGTTTCTCTCTTTCTTTCTTTCTTGTTGGTTCTGACACCTTCGTTCATTATCTATCTATCTATCTATCTATCTATCTATCTATCTATGCTTTCTTTTCTATTTAGATATTATCTAATCAGCTACGTGTAATCACTTCTCAAAATGCGACACCCAATAATATTTTATTTAAATTTCGTCTTGTTTGAGTCAAGCTTTCAGTATTATCACGTAAAAATGATCGCTGTAGACCTGATAATTCGCTAAAAAATATCGATGAATTTTTTTTTAAATTTCTTATTAAACACAAAACTAATGAATTCGATTGCGAGAAAGAAACCAGGAACAGCAAGCATCAAAAAGCACACATATAATAAACATTGTTACAAAAGCCTCCAAACATTCCCGCCACACTTTTGTAGCAGCAGTTGGCCTGTTGCCTAGTACTCTAAACTGTCTCTAAAACCCTTTAGTATTTTCTAATAGATTATGTGGATTCCACGACATGCATATTATAGCGAAAATATACATTTTGAGACAATAAAATGTTTTTGTTCACCGATGCCTAAACAATGTCTTATACAGTTTTTAGGAAGTATATTACCTTATGCACGCAGGTATTGTCTTGTGTACGTATTCACTACATTGTACATACCTCTTTATAATATTGTCGCTATCACATCTTATATTGTGTATTTATTTCTTTTAGATTTTATTCTTGTATTTTTAATTTTTATTTATCGCTTAAAACCTGTCACTTTATTATTTGTATGTATTATTTTAAATGTTTTTACTTTGTTTTATATTATAAATAAAGACAAAAGGAAAATTTATCTTAGCCGACACGTTTCGTCCTCTGATGGACTTTATTAAAGCAAATGGAAGGATTTTATTTTGCAACAAGTATTTAGAAACAAAAGTAAAAATGTCGTTAGTTTTTCAGCATTTTTTAATTTAAGAATGCTCATAAATTGGAGTTCGGCTAATTGAAAGTCAAGGTAAATTATGTAGGCAAATTATGTATGTCTAGTAAACGAAAGTAAGTAACTTGAATTATTTACATTAATCGGACTGTTATCCTCATTTTCATTGTCATATTAACAACGTTTCGGCCTCTATATCTCTGAGATGAGGTATTATAATTACTTGCATTATTTGGATTGCATCTTGGAAATGTGATCTGAAGAACCAGGAAAAATCACATTCCTGGGGAAATAAAAATATAATCAATGGACCATTAAGGTTGTTTATTTTTTAATTTAACTTGAATTAATATATATATATATATATATATATATATATATATATATATATATATATATATATATAGAGAGAGAGAGAGAGAGAGAGAGAAAGAGAACAAAACTTACCTTTATTCGCATTGTCCTATTCCAGATAAATTTTTAGTTACATTTGAAATTTTACACACACACACACACACACACACGCGCGCGCGCGCACGCACACACACACATACACACACACATACACACACACACACACACACACATATATATATATATATATATACAATTTTCAAAAATACGAAAATGCATGTCAGTTTAAGATATAAAATATTTGAAGCCCCGATCCTTCTGCTGCCATAATTTCTGAAAAGACAAAAGGAAAATTTATCTTAGCCGTCACGTTTCGTCCTCTGATGGACTTTATCAAGGCAAATGTAAGGATTTTATTTTGCAAGAAGTGTTTAGTAAAAATGTCGTTACTTTTGCAAATTTTTTAAATGTAAGAACACTCATAAATATGCATCAAAGTAAAGGAAGAATCTAGATAAATTATGGAAAATGCCAAGTGACATAATTTAATGTCTAATAAGCAAAGGTGAGTAAATGTTTTGGTTTTATAATGTAATTAATATTTATATTATTTTAATTTGGGTTTAATCTATGGATTATATATGTCAATGTTATGGTGTCCTCCCTCTAAAGAGTCTATGTTAGACTCTTTCGCCTACTATAAGATTAGTAGGAGAGAAGACCTTTGAGAAACAGACGCATAGATTGTTCAAACTGTCGAACTAACTGCCTCGGCAGAGAGGAACTCGGACGAAGCTTCGCCGAAAGGGAAAGTGTCGTCTGGGGAGGTAGACAGTCCCTGAACCCGTTTAGGCGGGTTCAAAGGGAATATTTTTGGCCGAGCCCACGGGCTCGGAGAAACCCACGTTAAACTCGGCCTTGTGACA